TCTTTTCTTTCTTTTTTCTTTTTCTTTCTTTTTCTTTCTTTCTTTTTTCTTTCTTTTTTCTTGCTTTCTCAGTATGTTTGTGTGATTTTTACTTTTCTTTTCTTTCTCAGTGTGTTTATTTCTTTTCAGTCTAGTCTTTCTCTTTCTTTCTTTTTTTCTTTCTTTCTTTTTCTTTTCTTTTTTTTTTCTTTCTTTCTTGCTTTCTCAGTATGTTTGTTTCTTTTTTTTTCTTTTCTTTCTTTCTTTTTTCAGTATGTTTGTCAGTGTGTTTTATTTCTTTTTTTCTCTTTCTTTCTTTCTTTTTTCTTTCTTTTTCTTTCTTTCTTTCTTTTTTCTTTCTTTTTTTTCTTTCTTTCTTTCTTGCTTTCTCAGTATGTTTTTTCTTTTTTTCTTTTTTTTTTCTTTCTCAGTGTCTTTTGCTTTTCTTTTCAGTCTTTCTTCTTTTTCTCAGTATCTTTGTAATTTTTTCTTTCTTTTTTTCTCAGTTTCTTTCTTTTTTTCTTTCTTTCTTTTTTTTTTCTTTCTTTTTTTCTTTCTTTCTCTTTATGTTTGTGTGATTTTTACTTTCTTTTCTTTCTCAGTGTGTTTATTTCTTTTCAGTCTATCTCTTTCTTTTTTTTTTTTTTTCTTTCTTTTTTCTTTTTTCTTTCTTTTTTTTTTTGTGTAATTTTCTTGCTTTCTCAGTATGTTTTATTTTTGTGTGATCTTTTACTTTCTTTCTTTTCTCAGTGTGTTTATTTCTTTTCATTTTCTATTTCTTTCTTTTTTCTTTTATTTTTTTCTTTTCTTTCTTTCTTTTTTCTTTCTTTTTTTTTTTTCTTTCTTTCTTGCTTTCTCAGTATGTTTGTGTGATTTTTACTTTCTTTCTTTCTCAGTGTGTTTATTTCTTTTCAGTCTATCTCTTTCTTTCTTTCTTTTTTCTTTCTTTCTTTTTTCTTTCTTTCTTTTTTCTTTCTTTCTTGCTTTCTCAGTATGTTTGTGTGATTTTTACTTTCTTTCTTTCTCAGTGTGTTTATTTCTTTTCAGTCTATCTCTTTCTTTCTTTTTTCTTTCTTTCTTTTTTCTTTCTTTCTTTTTTCTTTCTTTCTTTTTTCTTTCTTTCTTTCTTTCTTTCTCAGTATGTTTGTGTGATTTTTACTTTCTTTTCTTTCTCTCAGTTTATTTCTTTTTTTCTCTATCTTTTTTTTTCTTTCTTTTTTTTCTTTCTTTTCTTTTTGTTTGTATGTTTTTTTTTCTTTCTTTCTTTCTCAGTATGTTTATTTCTTTTCAGTCTATCTCTTTCTTTTTTTTCTTTTTTTTTTTTTTTCTTTCTTTTCTTTTTTTTCTTTTTTTTCTTGCTTTCTCAGTATGTTTTTGTGATTTTTTTTTACTTTCTTTCTTTTTCTCAGTGTGTTTTATTTCTTTTCTTTCTTTCTTTCTTTCTTTCTTTCTTTTTCTTTTCTTTCTTTTTTTTTTCTTTTTTTTCTTTCTTTCTTTCTTTCTTTTGCTTTTCTCAGTATGTTTTGTGTGATTTTTTTATTTTTCTTTCTTTCTTTCTCAGTGTGTTTATTTCTTTTCAGTCTTTCTCTTTCTTTCTTTCTTTTTTTCTTTTTCTTTCTTTCTTTCTTTTTTTTCTTTCTTTCTTGCTTTTCTCAGTATGTTTTGTGTGATTTTTTACTTTCTTTCTTTCTCAGTGTGTTTATTTCTTTTCAGTAATCTCTTTCTTTCTTTTTTTCTTTTTTTTCTTTTTTTCTTTTTCTTTCTTTCTTGCTTTCTGTTTTGTTTTGTGTTTTTTTTTTCTTTTCTTTCTTTTCAGTGATTTTACTTTCTTTTTCAGTCTCTTTTCTTTCTTTTTCTTTTTCTTTCTTTCTTTTTCTTTCTTTTTCTTTCTTTCTTTCTTGCTTTCTCAGTATGTTTGTTTCTTTTTTTTACTTTTTTCTTTCTTTGTATTTTCTTTCTTTCTTTTCTTTCTTTCTTTCTTTTTTTTTTCTTTCTTTCTTTCTTTTTTTTCTTTCTTTCTTGCTTTCTCAGTATGTTTGTGTGATTTTTACTTTCTTTCTTTCTCAGTGTGTTTATTTCTTTTCAGTCAATCTCTTTCTTTCTTTCTTTTTTCTTTCTTTCTTTTTTCTTTCTTTCTTTCTTTTTCTTTGTTTTTGATTTTCTTGCTTTTCTCAGTGTGTTTATGTTGTGTGATCTTTTTCTTTCTTTCTTTCTCAGTGTGTTTCTTTCTTTTTTTCTTTTTCTTTCTTTTTTTTTTTTTCTTTCTTTTTTCTTTTTTCTTTCTTTCTTTCTTGCTTTCTCAGTATGTTTTGTGTGATTTTACTTTTTTCTTTTCTCAGTGTTTTTATTTCTTTTCAGTCTATCTTTTTTCTTTCTTTCTTTTTCTTTCTTTCTTTTTCTTTTTTCTTTTTCTTTCTTTCTTGCTTTCTCCAGTATGTTTGTGTGATTTTTACTTTCTTTCTTTCTCAGTGTGTTTATTTCTTTTCAGTCTATCTCTTTCTTTCTTTCTTTTTCTTTTTTCTTTTTTCTTTCTTTTTTTTTTCTTTCTTTCTTGCTTTCTCAGTATGTTTGTGTGATTTTTACTTTCTTTCTTTTCTCAGTGTGTTTATTTCT